CCGGAGTATGTTGCTGCTGACACTGTAAAATAAGCCTCGTTATTCCATGCTGCACCAGTATGAAACTGTGCTGACCCTGGTCTTGCAATTGTTAAAGTGAAGTTATTTAATAATAGAAATGATAAAATTCCTCCATCAAGGCTCCATAGGCCTTGGGACAACCTCCTGAACACCCGGCTGAATACCTGCAGCTACACTTCTTTCACTTGATTCATAGATAATATTAGGATTTCATTTGGGCTGTGTTACAAATTGTGTTTTTTTTTTTCTTTCCCTTTATTTTGTGCCCAGGGACATAATAAAAGTGAAGCGCTTGATCTGAGCCAATTATTAAGATGCGATTTCAATTACTTGCATCAATGCAAAGTATATTTGACTCTACAGGTGAGCCACTTCAGCACAAAAAATCCATTGTGATATCAAAAAAGGGCAAATTCTGGAGCTGTTGAAAATATATTTACAAAAGTGCTTCATCTGCTGTTAAAGTGTGGAAAATATTTAAACTGTGTTTGCATTCCCTTTGTGCCCATCGTTTTAAAATCACAAAAGGCCATGACTATGAATTTAATGATCAGCACTTTATTTTTGTAATGCTGCAACTTTGTACATCCACCCTTAGGTATTCTAAAAAAATGTTTTTTATTAGTTCAGCTATACAATTTTTTGTAGGTTTCAGTGCTCACTTGACAATTTATTAGGTACCTGTTTAACTGATTTTTGATGTCCATATCTAATCAGACGATCTTTAAAGAAGCACCTCAGTGCATTCAGACATGCAGACATACTCGAGACAATCTGCTGAAGTGGGATTTTCCCACATAGTCACCCCTAGGGTTTACAAAGAATGGTCTCAAAAAGATGTGTCCGTTTTCTTGGTTAAAATATTTAGGTAATGTCAGAGGAGAATGGTCAGAGTGCAGAAGAGCATCTTCTTCATGGGCTACAGCAGCAGAAGACCACACTGGGTGCCACTCCTGTCAGCTAAGAACAAGAGACTGAGGCTACAATTCACACTGGCTCAGAGAAACTGAACAACAGAAGACTGGAAAAAGTTGATGAGTCTCGCTTTTTACTGGTTAGAGTTCTTATGGACAGTATGATCATGGTGTTGTAATGGTGTCCCAAAGCATAGCAAGAAATATTCAATTGGTGAAAAATACCAAGTGAATATTTTTTAAATGTCTGAGAGCATAGGGATGTTGCTAGCACATTGTTAAGTCTATGCGAAGAAGCATTAAAGCAGTTCAGAAGAGAAAGGGGGTCCAGCCAAGTACTATGAGCTGGAAGTGGTAGCTGGAGTAAGGAGTTCTAAGCATCTCTGTGCAGACTGCTGCCCCCACAAATGAAGTTTACTACGACTTCACATCCATGGCAAATGTGGAATCACTGGTTAGTCTTGGGGTGTCCAAAGGAAACCCACCGAGGGTTATTGTGTATGTTTTAGGGATGGACACATGTGACTGGTTGGTTATGTTTTGGGTATATTTTACAAGTTCACAGTAGGTAGCTGAAGATAATTATTACAAAGATGGTAAAAACCAGATTGGGGAAAATGGTGCAGTGTGCTCTAAGGGAGACTGTTATCCAATAATCCAGGTTTCAGGGCAAAGTTCAACTGAAGTTGAAGTTGCTCACCTTCAATTTTCTCTCCAAGTTTTCATATATCACCACCTACACTCATTCTCCAGTTCACACAAACAGAACTCAAGGCACATTTTTTTCCTATGTGAGATATACCATAAACAAGCAGCTGAAATGAGCTGTTAAAGGATACAGTATAAATTTCTGTTTTCACCTAGTTATACAGGTGTAAAATTCAAGGTTGTTTAGCATGTTTTGTAGATATTTTACTTAATAATGGATTGGATTTATATAGCGCTTTTCAAGGCACCCAAAGCACTTTACAATGCCACTATTCATTCACTCTCACATTCACACACTGGTGGAGGCAAGCTACAGTTGTAGCCACAGCTGCCCTGGGGCAGACTGACAGAAGCGAGGCTGCCATATCGCGCCATCGGCCCCTCTGGCCAACACCAGTAGGCGGTAGGGTACAGTGTCTTGCCCAAGGACACAACGACCAGGACAGAGAGCCTGGGGATCTAACCGGCGACCTTCCGGTTACAGATACGCTTCCCAACCCCCTGAGCCACGGTCACCCCTACTTGGTCATCTCTGTAATAAGGCTAATAGATCATTGTGGGGGGCTTCATCCGATCTGTGTAGGTGTAAAATAAACAATAGACTTTTTTTATATATATATATACTACACAATTTTGATTGTGCATCTCAGTGTGTGTGTGTCATCCTTTTTCAAGTACTATAGAAGTCCAATTAGAAAAGCAAGGACATGACATGAAATTTCAGTAACAGCTGGGTTCTTGTATAATAACAGCATCTTTACCGTCACATCCAATGATTTATAAATGGGTGATATTTCCATCAAGCGTACTTGGCTCTTGTGTTTTCTGATGCCAATGGGGTGCATGAAGAATCTCTCATGCATCTGTTTAGCGCTGCTGGATTCATTTTCAGCATCTTTGAAGTGCCTTTTGAGAGCTTTTACACGCATTAGAAACAGTCTCTAAAGATAAATGTCAGTCAAAGAGCCCTGCAGTATGACTTCATATAAAACAAGGACAGCTTCTTTCAGAATTTATATAGAAATCCTTGAAATGTTGATGACAGTCCTGACTTTGCTTTGGATTGTCCAAAGGTGAAAGTTTACTACAAATAACTTTTATAAATTTCACTCATAAATAACTATAAATTTGATCCAAACCACTTTCTAAAGCTGAGGTTCGTCTTATTTTATTTTTTATGACAATTAAACCTTTTAGAAGTTTAAAGACCAAATGGATGAAGGCTTGGGATTGTATTTGTTTCATTTTATCCGCATAACAAAATTCAGGTGTTTTCAGTGTCTACATCGGCTGTATGAGGCTCCACAGCTACAGCGGCGTTTGGCTAATTGGAAATAGGTCATAAACTAAAGTGGAGGACAAATTTAGATTCTGTGACCTGATGATGACACTAGAAGAAACATCACCACAATTACTGAGAGATTAGACTGACCCATGTGGGCTCCTTGACACATTTTGTTTATCCTTCCAATATTTATCAAGACGTTTCACTAAAAAACAAAAAAGATCATATGAGAAAAACCTGGAGCACCTGGACTGGACTCCAGTAATCACTGACTTCCAGTTGGGAGGATGCGGCTCAGGAAGTAGAGCAGGTCATCTACCAATTGGAAGTATCCTGGGGCAAAATACTGAACCCTGAGATGCTTCAGAGTTGCTTCTGATGCATTCATTAGAGTGTTAATGTTAGATAGAAAGCTCTTCGAAAATAGAAAAAGTGAATGGGTGAGTGAGACATGTTTGTACAAAGCACACTGAGTGCTCAAGTAGAGTAGAAAAGCACTATACATAAGTTTCAATAGGTTTACAGTAACTAAACAAAGGCAGAAACAAGAAAAACTGCTTTATTGACTCTTTAGAAATGTTTGCACACTGAAAAACAGTGAATATTATATGTGCACCGATTACAGCTCAGCTATGCGCCTTACATCTGAGGCACTGAAATCCAAATGTGTGATTTCTGTGCAGATGTCTCATTTGGTGATTAAGGCAACTTGCTGAATGTGATTCAGATCATCAGTGAGAATACAGTTGAAATTAATATGAATGATCACCTGCAGTTTCATCAGGAAAATTGCTGCTTCTGTATTTCTCCTTCACGTCCTCAGAGGCAGCGGAGAAGAGCCCTGCTTGCATATTTAATACATTTGTGTGATTGTGCATGCGAGTGTGCGTTTAATTGCCGTAGTCTGCCAAGTGTGGAAGAAATTCACCTGGTTGCCTTTGCTGTACAATACTTCAGGTATAGCAGTTAATTGGATTAGCATTTGACGCAGGTTATCTAATCATCACTCAAGGCAGATTGGCGTGAAAACGGTTGACACACATTCGGGAGCAAACAGAAAGTTTGATGGAGTCTTTCGTATTTCAAGCTGATTAGAAGTGCAATAAACCAGAAGAAAAGTGCAATAAAACAGCAAACTCAGGGTGGATTGAACTTTAAAGCTTAACTAAACCCCAGAACACTGGCAGAGTAACAGAGGGAGGAAGCTGGATTAGCATGTGGTGCAGATTATGCCAGTCATCACAATGAAAGTGTTTTTCCAAAGTGTTAAACAGGGTTAGGGCTCAGATCCTCAGACTGTAATCCAGCCTGTGCATCACTTCAAACACACAAACATCTCGTAATTAACCTGATGCTCTCAAAGCATTTTACGAGACTTCAAAGTCTGTTTTAAAGCAACGAGAATTACAGCAACACGTATCATCACCGCAATGCAGGAAATCAACATAAAGGAAGGATGGTGTGAAACGGGGGATTGTGTCGCACATCAGTACATACAGCACACTTAAATGTTGAACACTTTCTGTTTTGTTGTGTTATATCTGTCAGGGTAGTGTTGTTTCAAACTGAACACAAAAGCTCTCTTACTGGAAATTACACTTACCAACCACTTTATTAGGTACACCTTGGTAGTACTGGTTTGACCCCTTGTTGCCTTCAGAACTACTGAAGGTGCCGGAAACATTCCTCAGAGATTTTGGCCATGCTATATTGACACGGTGGCATCGCACAGTTGCTGCACATCCATAACGCTAACATGAACGTTGTCATGTTCTAGTGGCCAGTTAGAGATGACTTGAGCTTTTGACATGACGTGTTATGCTGCTGGTCATAAAGAAATGAAATCAAAACTCATCTGAACCTGGCAACATTTCACAATCTTCTGTGGTGCAATTTTGCTAAGTCCATGCAAATTGTAGCCTCATTTTCCTTTTCTTCTTAGCAGGAGTAGCACCCACTTTGGTCTTTTGCTGCTGTAGCCGTTGCAGTTGTAATGTGAGGCTTAATTTCAGTCCCTAAGAAAAAACACATCTGTGAGCTAACACTGACATTTGCATTTTTCAGTGGTGCAGAAAAATTGTTTGGTCATCCCTCCTTTTCTGCTACGCAGCCAAGGTGACGACTGCTAAGGGCAAGCAGTGGGCAATGATACAACATCCAGGTAATAATTTGGGTAGAGCACTTCACGTAGCCGTATTTGATGGTGTGAACACATAAAAATATAAATATGGAAGTTTTGGGGGAAAGAAAATAACAGGTGTGTGTTTCTGGTCTCCCTCAAACCGCCTATGCTAAAAGGAAAAATAAAAAAAATTATGACTAAAGAATAACATAAAAGAATCCAGGTTTAGACACTTAAAGTAGTTTTGGACAAGGCCTTTTGTTTTTAGTGGGACCGAAGTATTAAAATTCAACAACACTTATTGTCTCTTCTTCAGGGTGGAAACATGTGACTTGAGACGCAGCAGCAGACACATGAACAACTATTTGTACAACATATCAGATCTTAATTTTCCTGACATTAAAGTATCTTTTTCACAGCTGGCATAAACCTTTTTTGTTGTGATGTGCCGAGTGCATATCAGACCTTTCACTCAGCTAAATAAACTTTTCATTTCAAACAGTTTATAAAAAGTTCAAGTGCCGCATCTTGGGAAAGGTTTAGCATCATTTCGGTTCTGAAAATCAGACTATGAAGCATTTTTATGAGTGAGCGTGGGAAAGCGATCTATCACTCCTTGCATTCAGATATTCGTATGTTTTTTATATATATATTCTTTAGCTTTTTTTCCCTCTCTTGCACTTCTTGCAAGGTCATGGCAGAGTTTTAGAGGTGGGGCAAGAATACTACAAAAGGGTCTGTGCTCACAAAGGTATGTTTCTTTCATTTGGACCGTAAGAAATAGTCATCTAATGTGATTGGATACAGACACAGATATGCAGACAACCCACGTGAAGTACATCCTTCTCTGGATCCCAGGGACTGGGTTTTTTATGGGGGGTTTCATGCAGGTATTCATATCAACATTTTAACCTCAGTTTCTGAATACAACACCCTGAGGACGGGAATCAAGTTGTGATCTTAACCTCTATTTCACAAGAGTGAGTTAATTAAACACTGTATTTTGGTTCTGCTAAAGGTCCTGAAAGAGCAGAGAAGGAGGAACGAGCGGGGGAAATTAACAAAAGTAGTGGCACAAAACAAGAACTGTCACAGCTGAAAAGAGACGAATGATGTAAACAAAGGCAGCAAGGTTTGAAAGAGCTATAAACACAGAGGCCGGTGACAATATTCATTAAAAAAGATCATGAAAACAATTTAATGTGTACGTTGCGTGTCTACAGATCATGCAAAGGACATGAGCAACAATTTGAGATGGAAGGAATAGTAAAAAAAAGTAAATGTTGCCCTCTGCTGGGCAACAGTCTTATCTCTAGTCTTATCAGACATAATATCTCATGTCTGATTGTACTTGTACATTCAGCATTCAGCAGCAGCAGATGCATATTTAACTTGTGCATTCAGTTGAGACTGAATCATGAGATTGTACACAGGTCTTCATTTCCTTAGATTGTTGCAGTGGTTTTAATATATTAAGATTTATTCCTCTTATGAGGACGTTTGTTGTATTTTAGATGTTTCATAATGTTGAACTGGCCTGATCTTCCACCTACAGTCACATCCAAGAGCAGTACTAAGAATACTCATACTACTGTATCATTTTGGCTCCTCTTTATGTGACTAAAATAAACTGAGTGGAAAATAAGAGAGGCAGAATCACATTCACATGATGCCATCGAGAAATGTGGGCTAAAAAAGGCTCAGCCGTGGTCATTGTGCATCACGTGTTGTGAACTGTTATGCTGCTCACCGAAAAAAAACAAGGTTACGAGTAATCACAGCAGCAGAGCCACACGTATTTTGTCTCATCGCTGGTTTTGCTTCAGTCGTTTGCTTCATGTTCCTCTGTTACCAGATGCCATGAAGCCTTCTGTCTCATTACGTCTGTCAGCAACAAGAAAAACTCGCTTAGAATCTATGCAGTCAGCCTGAAGCCAGGCGAAATCGATTTCACAACAAGCCAGCATGAAACAACACTGTTGGGATGATTCAGCTAAACTTGTAAAACTGAAATAACCCCCCCCCCCGCCCCCCCAAAAAAAATGGTGCTGTGCAAAGGGGGGAAGATTCGGCAATCCATATTCTCCCGTCTGGTTGTTATTGTGTAATTTTATGCCAGTGTGGCTTAAATGTGACATTTGCATGCTTAAAACAATAGCAGCCACACTTTTAGGTTTGAGTTGGAACTAATGTGACCTGGTGTACTTAGAGGGGATTTAAAGTGAAACACAGACACAAACTTTGAGATTTTAAAAGGCTGTTCTATGTTATTGTCTGTTTCACACGCAAAAAATTAAGGCAATGATGTTTTAAGGCGATGTCATTGGGAAGAAAAACGCAGTCTTTGCAAACACCATCATGCAAACATGGAAATCTGTTGCATTTTTTTTTTTGGCAGTTAGGACTGCAGTAACAAGTAACAATATGGAGCTGATTCCCCGATGTAGGCAGGATGTGGATCATGTTGGTGATGGAGGAGCAGAATAAGCAGATGGCTGATGGAGACTTGGCTAAGATGCCTTGCTCAACCCAATGACAGGAGGGAGGAGTAATTCACAACGGGCAGCCTAAAAGGATAACAGTGATTGAATATAAAGAAAAGGGACTGAATGGTTTAGGGAATGTGGGTAGATGGATCAGTGGACAAGAGTGAAGAGAATAGCCCATATAACCTACATTAGGAGTGCCCAGACTGGAGTTTTCAATGTGTAACCTCTAAAACTAACACATCAACCCCCTATATTAAAGTTGCCTATGAGAAACAAAGTCTGTACCGGAGGTGTTGTCTGCCTTCCTAAATGATTAGAGTACAGTACATTTTCCAATTTCTGCAGAGCTAAAATGACAATTGCATACACGCTGATAAACTTTTCCACATTCACTAGAGGGCAACGGTGAGGTTAGAAGGTAATATTCAGTGCAGAAACCTATGTGCAGATCTTGTGCTGGCGCATCTGGAATGAGAGGAATTTGTCACTCTTACTGTGACAGCAGCATGCCATCTAAACTGAAGAAAAAGCTTGCTGCCAAAATATCCACAAGCACAATTTGAAGTCGGAAGCAATCACAAAACATAATGCAAAGGAAGTTCAAGCAGTCTCCTATTTAAAGTTTTTGCACTGCTGTAAACAATGAGATTTATTCTGGAAAAATTGTTTTGGGCTTTTTGTTGATTTCGCTGGTGATAGGAGTCAGTCTGCCCTGTGTCACACTTGTTGTTTTAAGTGCCTCCAATAGCTACAACAGCTGGGGTGGAGGGTAGCAGATAACTCCCGCCTGCTTATTCCCCAGGGCGCCATTTCTGAAGGTCAAGGAGCTGGACATTTCCTTGAGGCTGAGAAAAAAAAACCAATCAAAAGTGTGAGTTTACCTTCAGTTTTTTTTTAATACAAACTGAGAAGCATCGGGAGATAAAAGTTGGGACTAAGAGTACGAAGAACTCCCACATGAAAGAAATCAAACACAGTGTGGTGTTCTGCCAAATCCTGCGTTAGTAGATGAAGACATCCATTAAAAATCATGAGAACGATCTTAAACTTGAGAAATTATTCCAGTTTAGATCGTAAGATTTTCAAAGTTTCATCAGAAACAAGCGTTTTTCTTTTCTTTTCTCAGGCCAAACCTAGATAAGCACTCCCCACCTCAGAGAGATACTGAGAGTCCAAAAGGAAAATCACAACCTATACTCCCACAAAAAAAATCTTTTTATACCCGATCCAGCAATGTGTGGAATTAAGGAGGACTGAGTTTTAACAACATTGTAAACCTTTTCTTGTCACAATGGATTGGTTCAGGTCAAGCTTAAAGTTTGTCTTTCATAACCTTTTTGTTGTGGACTGCGCTTTTTTGCTTTCCTCTATCTCGGCTAACATGTAGCATGATGCACCAGTTGTGTCCATTTTCTACTCCCACAGCTATCAAAATCATAATAATTTAATCGTGACAGTAATGTTAAATGACATGTGACTTAACGAACAGCCTCTAGTCAGAGAACTGCCCGGTGAATACAAGAACATCGTCTTTGTTCTTTTGGTTTATTCACAGACGAAGCCCGGTCTTTCATCGCTTGCAAAATTTAAGCTGATCAAACACAAGAAAATGGCAACAGGGCGATGATGAAAGAATGATGCGTTCCCATTTCACCTTACACACTAGTGAAGAATAAGCAATAAGGATATTAACAAAAAACAGAATACCTTTAATGTGAACTTTGTGGGTGGCCTTTGGGCCTCTGCGGAATGCGAGGTATGCCCTGATAACAGCAACGATAAAGTGATCTCCATATGGACCTCCTTAGGCAGCTCCCTGAGGCAGCCTAGAAAGCCTCTTCTGAATGTCATTATACATAATGTATGGTCTATATTTACACTTAATGACTCTAAAGATCATTTGAGAGTGATGACAGCAGTATACACACCGGTGTCTCTTTCCTCTCAAACAGATTTGTAAATGTTCACAAACCTCATCCCGGTGTTCTTGTTGTACGTGTTCCACAAGACAGGAAATCCTGAAACAGACTATCACGAATACAACATAATAAAATAATGATTTTTTTTTTGTTCTAATCCCATCTTTCAATGGCAGGATACTGAGTAGGAATAACATGAAGCCCATACCTTCCTTATTTTGAGTTCAGCAGAGTGTTATGCTAATATTTGTACAAGTGTTCTGCCAATAGTGATGTTTCCCGTCCTCCCATTTTACTCTCCCCGAATAAAATCGGACGTTTGTAGCTAAATTTGAACCGCACTGTAACTGCAAGAAAAATTCCTAAAATTCCTCAACACTGATAATTTTAAAAAATAAAAAGGGGGGAGGAGGGTCTTAAATGAAACTCCATGGATATAACTGTCTGCTATTGATTGTTCACAGTCCGTGTTAGCTGAGTTTATAATTTCCAACCCTAATTTCTTTCAGCATGTTTACAGTGAACATATTTTTGGCCAAAAATATTGTTTAGTGATTTGATGTTTGTATTGAAGGGAAGAATAAGAACAAGCTAGTACAGTGTACGATAGGCAGGGACCAAGCAGTTCCTTTGTGTTAAAATGGTATCTAGTATCTGATGTGAAGGAATTGTTTAGGGTCTGTTGTGTTTGGCCTCACGCAATAGTTTTATCCGTATCCTGGATACAAAAGAATGAAATCGGTTTGACAAGGTGCTTAGTTTGTGAGAGACTGTGTGTGACTGTGTTTCTCTGTTTTCTAGGTCCAAATGGGTAGGCCATTTAAATCCTCTTTCAGTTTTTAATGAATTTACTGACAACGAACGAGCTGAATAAGTGTGTGTGTGTGTGTGTAGCGGGGGGGGTTCTCACCGAAAAGGCTTAAAACAATTTGTGCTGCAGAAAAATAAGAGCGTATCCCTATATTATACAAGTGACTGGCTGAAGCTCAGCAGCTACCGCCAAGAGAGGATGCAACAAACATATCAGACTTTCCAGAAGTAAACAAGTTGGAAATTCAGACTGAGTCACTCTGCCTTCATATAGTGATTCTCATTAAGAACCTCACAGATGAAATATGACAAATAACAATATATTGTAACTGCTGAAACAGCCGGTGAATTAAAACCACTTCAATTAAAAAAGCAAAGTGCTGGTCATCATTTAAACTTTTTTTTTTCCTTCTGCCACACCCATCAGTGATGTGTAAAAGTCCAAGTGAGGAATGAATTGAAAATACACTGATGGGTTTTGTTTTGTTTTGTTTTTTTTTTTTTGGGGGGGGGGGTTGGTGTTTTTTTCAAAGCTCAGAAGCAAATGTTTATGCACCAGATTTAGGTTTCAATCTCGTTTAGAGTTTTGGCAGTGCTCTCTCATTAGCATAGGCCTGAAGCGGCCCTCTGCTTGCACATTTGATCCCATTTCAACAGAGGGGCCTTGCACCCGGGTTGCCTCAATAGCTTTTATTCCTCTCTATGGGTGGGGGGATGGGGGGTTGTTGGTAGGAAACAGCATTAAAAACGGTAGAAGACCTGCACTTGACCAAGAGAAAGATCCCATCAGCAGCTAAAGTAGAACTGACCTTCTCAAATAACAGGGTAATTATGCTTTGTGATATTTATATTCTGACCTGCTGTCATTTAAAGAGGTAAAGCGCAAAGGTGAACTCCAGCGGTCGTATTATTTTATGTCTCTGCCAATAGCCGTTTCCTGACCTTGTTCTGTGCAACTTGAAATGAGCACATATCATTTCCTGCATTGGTCCTTTGGTTGCATGAAAGTTTCTGCATCAAAGAGGATCCACCTGGATAAAAGGATGTGACATATAAAGTAATGGCTTGAAAAAGTAATGGCCCTTTTGACCACATTAATCTAGCAGACAGAGATAAAGCTGTGACTATTATTATTTACATGGAGGCAGAGGTACGGAGGGAGGGTCCCTTGCTGACACAGATTCCAGTATTTTATTTTATTTCTTTTGTACAGATAATATTTATTTACTGAACTATTGCTGCTTTTGTGTCATATCGGAGTTTCCATAATTAGCAGTTTACCACTTGTAAACAGTGTTTACATCAGGAACCAAGTGGTAATTATGGCTGTGAAAAGAAATATTTGCAAGTCTCTCTAATATAAACAACTATAGACACAGACTGTTGTCTAAGATCAGGCAAAGTCTGCTGTTAAATGTAATTCAGTTAAATTAAGAAAATTCAGCTACTGCTAGCATTTTAAACTTCTCCTTTCTCTTTAAGGGATCGCCACAGTGAATCCTCTGCTCCAGCTCACCCTGTCCCGGGAGTCCTTTTTCTGTCACAGCAGCTCTCTGTATGTCCTCCTTCACGATATCCATGAACGAATGAGGCACAAATGAGGCACAGCTAAGACACCAATCAGGCTTACTGGATGGTTTTGGTAAATATGAACTGCATTTTCATACATTCTATACTTTGTCCAAGGCCTTGTCCGCAGTGGGCCAGCATGTCTATTACACGCATGATAAGAGAATGCTAATACATTTTTGTCATTGACTACAGCTGCATTTCTCTTTCACATAGAAATACTGAGATGTATTAAATTGTATGTGTTACATTAGATTGATCTCTCAGGGTTTAAATGTTTAGTGAAACTTCTTCACGGTGACAGAAAGGGTAGTTTTATTGTTTTGGCCCACCTAAGTGGGCTATATTTGGCCCACTTAGGTGGGCTATAATGTAAAATAAGTTTAACATCCCTGCTGTAGAACATTGGAGTGTAGGCTCCTTCAACCCAACTAAACAGCAGAACAGAGCCATTGTTGTTATCTAAAATTCAATACAGGATATACTTTCAAAGAGTAGTTATTTTTTCTACCATAACCACTGTGGGCAGGCTAACTATTCAGCTAGTAAGCTAACATTTAGCTATCAAGATCTTCACACTTTTGACTTTGTGTGTTTGGTTTTGGCCTGACAGAAGTATTACATACTTAGGATTCAGAGTACTGCTCTTAGTAAAGCCTCTGTGGAGGAATCTAGCAAACCTCTTATTTGTTTGAGAGTGATTTCCTTGCTGATAGAGCATTTGAGAATAATAGCTATCCCCTTAATCATCATGTGGCTGATGAAACAAGTCTGAGTAACGTGTGACGCTCTTTGGGGGCAGTGTTATAGGACTCTTTTGTAGCAAAGTGTGTTAGTCAAAGCCACTGAACAGCAGCCCAGGAAGTCATTAAACGCAGAACATTAACACAGCTTTCACTTCCCAGCCTTTCAATAGCTCTCCTAAGATTGTGACAACATTGTTCAGCTCTAATACTGCGCATATTTGGATAGTGAGTCAACCATAGTGTTCTTCCTTTCAAAAATGGATTGACTGGCACAGCAGTAAAGTTATGCATAGAGGTAACGTTGAAAGATAAGTACTGTTAAAAGTGCTAATGTTGTAATAATATGACAGCATGCAGTCTTGTTATTCACCAAGAAATGGAACAAGGACGTCCTCTGTTCTTCTACCAGTCTGGCAAAGAGTTTTTTGGCACTGCTGTTAGTGGAGTGGAGTTGAATGGGCATGCTTCTTGCTATGCAGCTACACAACTGAGCTGTTAAATGGATTTCAGGTGGTGGATAGCAATTTATAATTGGAAGATAAAACCTCACACAGGGATTTTCAGGAACTCTAAATGTGGCAACTTTGGTTCGAGGATCTCTTTGAATGATTTGTGTGAAAATGCCCTCTGAGATTTGTATCTGTTCTTTTTTTTTCCCCTTCAGGGACACGGCATGCTTTATAACTTTCCAACTTTCCAAAAACGACAATAGAAGTTCTTCGAACGCACAAACAAACTTACCTTGAGAAACGTATGTCACCATTATCTTCCTCTGCTGACTAAGGCAGCATCCTCCCACTAGGGGAAACAATTACACACAATGCAGGGAAGCAGCACACAGATTACATCCTTCCATTGATAAGGCCATGGCTACTAGAGAATAGCAGACATGAGAGTCCTTGGAGACCAACACTGTGTGAGAAGATCCTGTGCTGCTGATGCCAACACCTGCCCTGTAGGGACATGAACTCCTGATTCGGTTCCCACTGTACCTCCCATTGAGTGTTTTAACTGTTCCGATGACTTTCTCGTTTCTGAACAGACACCTGGTGGATCCACTATTACAGTTTTGGGGTTACACCTCGTAATGCTCATGAAGCCTATGCATAAGTTCATTAAGAAAGATCTGTAATCAGCTTTGCTGGGTGTTAGTCTGTTTATCTGGTTTCTACATCACCACCTCTTTCCCACTCTGTCAATCTCAATACTGTCGTCATTATTCTTGTCCAATCCTCTTCTTGCCCGCCTTCTTCAGGGCAATTAGCCTCCACTTTGCATAGCTTAAATCAGTGTTCTCCGTCATTTTCCCTTTCAGACTCTCATTCATGCAACCCACCTCCTCCTCATCTCCACCTCACAGACCCCTCAGTCAGAACTCCATCCAAGCTTCAGTCTTCAACTTCACCACCACCCGCTTCTAGACTTTGGAGGGTCCTGTCCTAAATATGATCACCGCTGGAATTTGGTTATACCACGATGGGTCATCGGAGTCTAATCACCATGTACATTAATTTATCTATCTCAATAAATCATGTTCAATTTCTTTCACGTAGTTTCTTCTTACCTTCTACATCTGCTCCAGCTGTTCCTTCAGCCCCTGGTACTTCTCTATTTTTTCTATGCAGCATAGATGTTCCTGTACACTATCCCAGCCACTGTGCCTCTCAGTGTCCATGGCCTCAGTTTGCGTCTTACATCCTGGTACTATCTGTTGTGTAGTGTCCGGGGCACTTTGTATCATCTACAGTTGGGTCCTGTTACCCATGGTGGGCCGGTGATTAGGGCCTGTTCTTGGCCTTCTTTCATCAGAGCCTCTGTGCTGTTCTTTAATCCAGACTTTTCTACCCACTGGTAGGAGTTGTTGATTTCAGCCATTCCCTCTATCTGTCAATGGTATTTAGTATTTAGTATTTATTTATTTATTGTCATTGTCAAGAACAATGAAATTGTGTTTGGGGCTTCCATACAACCCAAAAAAAGAAGAAAATAATAAATACCCCTTAAAACCCAAGTGTACATATTTAACCCAGTGTGACTCCAATGCAATAAGACAATCCTTAGCAATAATGTTCGTAGAAATTCAGACAAAGACCTGAGAAACATGACAAAATACAACAATGCAACCCATTCAATATTATTGTACTGTGAGATATGATATCAGATATGATAGTTATCTATTTAAGAAAGGGGGGGGGGGGGGGGGGCAGGAGGGGGAAGAGAATAAAGATATGATGCACCAATGCAGACCAGTTCATTGCTATTAAGAAGTTGGATATGGTTATTGTCCGTGAGAGGGGGGCAGAGAGTTCAGGAGCCTCACAGCCTGTGGATACAGGCTGTTGGCCAGTCTGGATGTTCTGGCCTGTATAGACCTGTACCTTCTCCCTGAGGGCAGCAGATGGAAAAGGTGGCGCGCAGGGTGATGTTGGTCCCGCAGGATACTGTGCACCCTCCTCAGACAGCGAGTGGGGAAGATATTACTGATCTCTGGCAGACTTGTTCCAATAATTCTGCCAGCTTCTTTCACCACCCGCTGGAGTGCTTGCTGATCGGCCTTGGTGCAGCTGGGGAACCACACTAGAAATCCATATGTCAGAACGCTGCTGATGGCACAGTTGTAGAAGTTCAACATCAGAGATCTGGGAATGTGTGCGCTCCGCAGTCTCCTCAGGTAGTAGAGGCGCTGTTGGGCCTTCCGTACAACTGAGGTGATATGGTTGCCCCAGGACAGGTCCTCGGTCACAGTTACCCCCAAGAATTTAAAACTGCTCACCCTCTCCACCGCCTCACTGCCAATGAAGAGAGGCAGATGGTTGTTATGACCCCTCTTCCGGAAATCTACAATGATCTCCTTGGTCTTTTTGGTGTTTAAGACCAAGTTATTGTCGTGGCACCATGACTCTAGTTGTTGCACCTCTGTCCTATAGTTTGTCTCATCATTGTTGGATATAAGTCCGAGCACTGTAGTGTCATCTGCAAACTTAACAATGAGATTGGACGCGCAGGAGGAAATACAGTCATGGGTGAAGAGAGTGTATAGCAGAGGGCTCAGAACACACCCCTGAGGGGCACCGGTGTTGACCACAAGGGTGGAAGAGGTGTTCTTACCCACTCTGACACTCTGTCTACGGTTAGTGAGGAAGTCCACAATCCAGTTGCACAGAGAGGAGTTAAGTCCCAGTTGGTGGAGTTTGGGACGGAGTTTGTATGGCCGGATGGTATTAAAAGCCGAGCTGTAGTCTACAAAGAGGAGCCGTGCATAGGTGTTCCTGTGTTCCAAGTGCTTCAGTAATGTGTGCAGCACTGTGGCGATCGCATCCTCGGTTGACCGGTTCTCCCTGTATGCAAACTGGTGCGAGTCCAGGGATGGTGGAAAAGCAGCTCTCATGTGTTTAATGACCAGTCTCTCCAGGCATTTGGCGGGAATGGGGGTGAGTGCCACAGGTCTGAAATCGTTCAGACATGTGACATTTGACTGTTTTGGGATGGGAACGATGGTTGCTGCTTTGAAACAGGATGGTACCAGTGAACAGGACAACGAGGTGTTATATATAGAGGTGAAGACGTCCGCCAGGTCCGCAGCACAGTCTTTTAGCACCCGGCCCAGCACTCCATCCGGCCCGGCCGCCTTCCTGGTGTTAATGCTCCGGAACACACGCCTCAGCTCATGAGTGCTCAGGACCGGAGCAGGGTCGGTTGAGGGGAGAGGGGACAGGACAGGGTCGGTGTTCTCCCTGTCAAAACGGGCATAAAAGAGATTTAGATCCTCAGCCAGAGTAGAACTGTCGGCTGAGGGTGATGGTGTTCTTCTTTTGTAGTCCGTGATAGCCCTGATGCCCTCCCAGACCTGCCTTGGGTTTGTGTTGTTCTCAAACCTGGCCTCGATACGCCTCCTGTGCTGCTGCTTGGCAGTTTTGATGCCTCTTCTCAGGTTGGCCCTGGCAGCACTGTATGCCTCCTGGTCCCCGGATTTGAAAGCGTTGTTCCTTGTTCGAATAAGTTGTTGAACTCCGTGTGTCATCCAGGGTGGATTATTAGGGAACACACGGAATCGTTTCCAAGTTGTTACATTGTCCACACAGAAACAGATGTAGTCCAAGACAGTGGAGGTGTAACTGTCCAATGCGACACGATTGTCAGTGTCCTGCACCTTGAATACATCCCAGTCTGTGCAGTGGAAACAGTCCTGAAGCATCGGAATAGCATCCTGCGGCCATGTTCTCACGGTTTTGGTTGTAATCCCAGTGCTCTTGATCTTTTGTGTGTATATTGGGTGTAGCAGAAGGGAGAGATGGTCTGACAGACCCAGGTGGGGATAAGCCTGGGCTCTGTAAGCATTCGCCATGTTGGTGTACACCTGGTCCAACGTTCTATCTCCTCTGGTAGCACACTTCACATTACGGTGGAAATTGTGAAGTACAGATTTCAGGTCCGCGTGGTTAAAATCCCCAGCCGCAATAAAGACACTGTCCGGGTGTGCTACCAGGCTGTTATTGATGCTGCTGCTCAATTGTGCTAACGCTAGCTTAGCATTAGCATCTGGTGGAATGTAAACAGCGCAGATGTAAACGGCAGAAAATGCAGGAACTTAGTGCTCCATGATAGTTCCTCGTCTTGTTCCTCATCACCACATTTCTTCACCTGCCTGAGGCATTCTTGGAGCAGCTCATCTGATGGGAGGGGGGGCTTTATGTGAGCTATCAGTTTGTACAATCAGCATTAAGAACACCTCTTCAATTGCTTAATTACTTAATGTAAGGTAATTTAATTTATTTTGAACATGGCATGGCTGTTGGTATTTCAGAAACTGCATATGTACTGTACACACAAACATCTCTAGGGTTTACGTGTTCTAAAAAAGAGAAAATATCCAGTGAGCAACAGTTCTTTAGGCAATGATGCCTTGTTGATATCAGAGGATAATGGCCAGGCTACATTGAGCTTTGAACAGTAATTCAAATAACTACTCTTTACAAGCAAGGGAGATGTTATAGCAGTAGAAGACCACAGTTGTGGTAGTGGTGTATTGATTACAACCAGCTAAACATAATTTAAGCACCACAGCAACAACCTAACTAAGTATTGTTCCTGCTTGTGCCCATCATTTTATGACCATAGTAAGCCAGTGTACCATCTTTTGATGGCTGCTTCCAGCAGGATAATGCACCATGTCCCTTAGCTCAAATCATCTCAACAGGTGTAAACAGTTTTAAAGAAAAATTAGGAAGACAACATACAGAGAAACTTATAAGTACCTAAGATACTGAAATGCCCTCAGCTTTGTGTTGAAGCTGATTTTTGACTTCTATAATTTCAAGGTTTTTAAAGGAGCTGCCTAATCAAGCTGAAATTTATTTTTACTTTTCTATGCAATAGAGAGTAATAGGCACTTTTTCAGAAGGATAAGTATGTGGAATTAAAGTGATGTGTTAATAAAACATGCATTGCAACTAATAAAATGTGATACCAATATGTACAATCATCTGATTATTTTTTAAAGGAGTGATAGGTTAAAGGTCCCCTATTCAGCATCTAAAATAACTTGACCAACACTGTTAAAAAGTAGTTTTTCGTGCTGCAAGGTCACACAGAGGAACCTCAGTTCCTATTGTGACTCTCTTCCTCATCCAGAAGCCTCTACCTAGAAAACTGTCATTGATCATTACCAAGAAAAGTGTGAAGTAGTATGGAACAATGTCCAGCACGCCAGTCGCCCAGCATTTCCCCGCATTGTTCGATTCATGGATTTTTACCTCATCAGAGGATTTTGACGTCCATCACCAACGACCTTCACACAGACAGGATTTCTTAGAGAATGTGGTGGGCACAGGAAGCGAAAGACGTGTGCTTTCCCTTGCAGACAGAATTGTTTTTACATAGGTAGGATTCAATAAGTTGAGTCAGACAGATTTTTATCATTTACCATAAACGTCACTAGAGTCATTAAAAACGTAATACTGAAAGATGCCACATTCTCACAATGCGATTTTACTTTAAAATTATAAAGTGCAAAAAATATATAAGAAATCTACATTTTTTACTTAAAAAAATTAATTAAACACAAAAAACTGCAGTCACAGTAGTCACTATATGGTTAGTTTTAATGATATTTGACAGTCAGTTATGTTATGTTGTGCTTTGCGAAAGTCTTGAGTCACCCCTCATTTCTTTATATTTTGCCACCAAGGAGAGAAACAAAGTTTTAAAAGTAGTCTTTCAGTCCAACCTTTGTACCTGACCATTTTCAAAGAATTTCTTTTTGTTAAGCCACTAAAATGAAACCATTCATGTACAAGAAAGGCACCTAACGCAGAGAATAAACTGGAGTTGTGTCAATACATAAAAGGAAACCTAGCAAGGAAACAATTTTAAATTGTATCTTTAAGCACTTGGTTACTAGCAGAGAACAAAAACATATCATTTGTTTCCATTTCTTTAGTTGAATCTGTGAAAAATGCCAATGCCAGGAATAAGAAAAAATTCC